CTCATCCCTGTGCGGTCCTGGTGATTGTGGTAGATCCGTTGTCCCAAATGTGACGGGTTCGACCTTGTGTTTCTTGGCGAGGGGTGCGGAGATAGAGTTTACCCGGAGGGCCCTCTCGAACTTCTTTCTCTCCGCCGGGGTATCCCCAGTCTCCGCCCCTCCGAAAATCATCTTGATTTCCATTTTGTTTTTCGAGCCGACCGGCCCGAGAGATGCCTCTGGCCGCTTGCCGTTATGACAGAAATCCTCCTCCTTGACCCGACCTCTCGCCGATCATCCCGGCGCCAGCTGTAGGGCCTTCTATATTGCTGCGAGGAGCCCTGATATGCTCCTCCCGTGATGAACTCACCCAGATATCCCCTATCGATAAGCTGCTGGATGGCGTACTTCAGACTTTGGCAATCATCCGTACGGTGTCCCTGCTTGCGGTGATATTCACAGTAGGCTCCCGTGTCCCAGCCCATCATGAGCCCCTTGGTGGGTACCGGCTCCTTGAGCAGCCCCTTGTCCTTGATGGCCCCAAAAATTTGACTGATTGGGTAGGCCAAGGGAGCTGGCCCCATGCCCACATGAGGGCCGTCCCCCGGGCGTTCTTGTGCGGCCTAAGGGACGTAACCGCCGACCGTCTTCTTTTTCTTTAGTGCAGGTGATTCCACCGGCCCGAGACCCAATCGGTCTGATGCTTTGCGCTCTGCGGGGGCCGCTGCCCCATCCCGCTGTGAGACCTCTTCCTCGATTGCAGCGAACTTGTGCGCACGGGCCAGCACCTCGGCGTAGTTACTCCCGGGGTTCCTTTTCAAGTCTAGATAGAGGTCCCCGGTTGCCAACGCATTGGTGAAGAGGGTGATGCTGGTGTTCTCCGGAAGATCCTCCATCTTCAGGGTCTCATCCCTCCACCTGATCAGGAAAGCAGATATGGATTCTCCCTTATTCTGGTGGACGTTCGTCAACCAACTGAAGTGTTTCTTGGGCGTGGAACTTGATGCGAACTGAGCCATGAGCTGCCGGGATAACTGTTCAAAGTTGTCGATGGACCCGGGCCTGAGCTGCCCGAACCACTCTTGCGCTGGCCCTCTGAGGGTGCTGAAGAAAAGTCTGCAAACAACCTCATCGGAGGCTCCCAACATAGAGAGTGTTCCTTGATAAGATAGTAGATGGGCCTTGGAGTCCCCGGCCCCGTCATAAGTTAGGTTTCCAGGAAGCCGAACGTCCCGTGCAATGTCTACCGCCATGACCCTGCCAGTGAAAGGGGGTGAGAGTGCAATCCTGGGCTATGCTTGTGTGTTTTCCGTGCGTCGATTCAGCTCATTTATGTCTCTGGATGTCCATGAGCATGGCATCTCGTGGATCGGTCCCAACGGGCACGGGGGTTATCAATGCCAAGGTATTCCCCCTTGGTGTAATGCCATGATTATGCTGACCATGGCATACCCGGGCCTCCGCCGTCACGCCACCCACCACGGGGGTATGTTCCCTAGCCGCCCTTCCATCGCGGGACATGATCGGCGTGGGGTCCTGGACCATGTGGCGCTGCGTTCCCTTGAAGGGCCTGGCTCCCGCGGCGCCCCCCATACGCGGAGAGCGGGTGTTCTGGGTTATCCTGGAATGGACCGAACGGCGGGGATTGCTATTATCGCCAGTGTGCTCGGCGAAAGACTGCATGGGACGGATGGGCGAGAGCGGGGTGCGCTCGGTGTTGGCAGTGTACACATGCTCTTCCTCCCGCTGGTCCGCTAGTCGGCGGATGGTATCCGCGATATCCCGTAGTGTGTTGGGTCCCTACGGAGTTCCTGGGGAATCAGGTTGGTGAGTATCCCGAAATCCCCCCGGCTCCATAGACTGGTGGATTGGGGCCCCATTGCCTGGTTACGGCTCCTCCTGCTGTGAGCCAGTCGTGATGATAGGTCTTGAGAGTTACCCGCGTTGTTAGTGTTCATTTTATTTGTCTTGCGGTTGTCTTAGAGTTTTTAAATGGAGAGCTTGATTAGAAGAGCTTTTTGATCAGTTTCCCAACACGTAACCCGGGGGTTTCGAATGGGTGGAAAGCAAAACAAGCTCAATAAACAACGAGGAGTGGGTTAATAACTGTATTTCATTCACTTTAGCGATTACAAGCCAAGGGGCCGAACGTACTGAGCTAAACTACGTGCCGTTGATGCTATTACAATTCTAGAGTGTCGAAGTGCGAACCCTTTACAATGAAATAAATGCGACTATTTATAGTATCCCATGGTGGTTGGGGGGCTGACGTGGCCGGCTGTGGGCGACATGTTCCCAACTACCAAATCTCCCGCAATTAATGCGCTTCCCGCCAAGATCTTGGTTTCCCGCCATAGCGTGGGGGACGTCCGTCCCCTAAACTGGACTCAGCCCTCTAGTGGCAGCCTGGGCCCTTAAGCGTAGTCCACAAGATGCTCGTCCCTTGGCCCTTGGGCCCTGAGCTTGGTCCTCCGGAGGCTACGTACGTCCTCTGGCCCTTGGGCCTTGAGGCCTAACTACGCTGGGACGTACGTCCCCTGGCACTTGGGCCCTGGAGCTTGGTCCTACGGGGCTACGTATGTCCTCTGGCCCTTGGACCCTGAGGCCTGGCCATGCTGGGCTACGTACGTACTCTGGCCCTTGGGCCCCGAGGCCTGACCATGCTGGGCTACGTACGTCCCCTGACCCTTGGACCCTGAGGCCTGGCCATGCTGGGCTACGTACGTCCTTTGGCCCTTGGACCCTGAGGCCTGGCCATGCCGGGCTACGTTCGTCCCTAGGGGTTGATGGGCCGGCCCTGGTAGGCCATTAACCCAACATTGACAAACAAAATTTGTCCCAATCGCTCACAAGTTCACAAACGGAATCGCGAACTGTCTCTCCTACTTCGCAATCGCGAACGGTTTCTCACCCTTCGCAGAATTCTTCATCGCAGCCGAAATCGCAAACTGCTTCTACTGGTTCGCACGCGCAGACGGCTTCTTTTAGTTCGCAATCGCGAACTGTTGCTTTCAGTTCGCAAGGGCTATCACCAGCCGTTTCTCAACCTGCTCAAGAATTTCACCAGTCAAGAAACCGACGGCAGACAAAAAAGAGGAGCAATCTACCGTAGCAGAAGGACCTGAAGTTGGCATAGTTGCTGGACTGCTAAGTCGTTCACATATGTCATTTATGTCGGGAGCTATAAATTTAGTCGAATCAAGAAAGGGAGGGCAGGGCACTCTATCATTAACGAAGAACACTGAGTTGAAGTTAGTCGCAATTTCAGATCTGGAGCCGGATACGAGTTTTGGTATTATGCACACTATTGGATATCAACAAGAAGATATAGAAGAAAACATGACACACCAAGAAAAGAAGATAGATGACAGTGGAAGGTGTAATCTTAAGGTTCCGCTTGATGAGAACAGTTTATATGCAATTGCAACAAGCACCGAGAATTTTCCAGATCTTTTATTTTTCTATATTCATGCTGATATTGCAATTAGAAAGTACATTCTAGGGACTACCATTAATCTGGTGCAAGAGAATATAAATCGGACTGTTGTATGCAAAGAGAAGTATGGTTCATCCATATCTTTTGCTCGCATACATTGGAATGGCAAAGATCCGAGTACCATTGATTCACCGACCAACTTGTGGGTTGGCCTCTTGATAGAAGAGCTCAGAATTACAGATTCATTAAATGAGAAGACAGTGGGAAATTTTGTGGAACAATATATTGAAGCCACGGAAAAGATTGAAGTGAAACAAGGTTTGAAAATGGCGATGTTTTTTTCTGTTGAAAATCAGCTTACCTGCAAGTAAACCAACTTTGGAAGTTTTACATGGGGGATAATATTTCCTGTTCCTTAGTTAGGAGAACTGCAACTGGAAAATTGTATCTCCTCACTTGCTTATTAAAGTCTTTAAGGCCTTCCTTCTCAACTGAGGTAAGTAAAGAATTAAAAGAGGAAGAAGTTGAAAGGTACATAAAGGAGTTTGTATCCAATACAATAATAGTTTCAGAGGATGGAAAAGATGAGGAGCCGCAAAAAAGTGGAGAATTATTTTTTGCTATCGAGTGTTGGAAAGAGACTGAATCGAATGAAACTTCACTACAGATTTCTTCTGCTGCTGAAAGTTCTGTAATTTTAAAAGATCCAGTACTGAAGTCCCTAGTCCATCAACCAGTTAGATATTGGGAAGGAAGAGGAACAAGGAAGAGGAAGAGGAAGCGGAAGATTTTGGCTGTTTCCTATCACCCACCTTGAGGGCAAGGTGGATGTTTAGGGGGGAGTATTGATAGGAATGCAGCTGAAATAAACAAAGAGAATAAATACTTAGATGATATAATACTTAGTAAATAGAATAGTCGGTGGATAGTTAGTTCAGTTATTGCTTTTAACTAATTCGGTTGTACTGAATAGTTATATATAGAAGAAGGCTAGAAGTAGAGAGGAGGCTGTTTTAGACATAGTCTTGGGACTTGGGAAGATTGAGATTCTATCTCTCTCTTTTGGGGGGGCTTCGGCTCATTTGGGCCATGGGGGCTTCGGCCAGAATTCTTGTTCATAGCTAATAAAGTTTGCTGTTGTTTCTTTGAATTGTTGTTCATCTTTCTGTTAATTTTCTGTATACCTGGAGAAACTCTATCATAGTAATTCAGAGAATGACAATGAATCCAGAAAGCATCATATGAATCCACACACAGACACACTACGAGAGTGTCTGGATTGGAATATCTAAAAACACAAATGGAACAAGTAATCTAATCTTAGACTACTAACATCAGTCATTATCAAGGAAACGTGATCTAATCTCAGACTCCTCACATTAGTCATTCCCAAGGTTACAAAGGAAATGAAGATCGCTAATTGCGCAAACAAGTGAGTCTGCTATCAAATTTCAACGAAAGAGTTTTAATCAAGAATAAGTTTGAGATCCATTATCTAGAGATTACATTAAACTAACAACTAATATGTGAAGTAGTCCATAATTTGTAGGGTTTTATTTTTCGAAGGGCATATGGAGGGATCCACCTGGGATAGAAAGAGCTTCGCTGAAACGGCGGAGAGAGCTGCGCTGATTCCGGCGCTGATCGCCCATGCGTTGCCTCTCTTAATGTACCAGACCATTGGACCTATGAGATGAGAAATACTCGTATTGACTCAAGGCCCTAGCTCCAGCTGGGGATGGCATCATAGGCCGGCCGTTCAGAATTAAAGGTTCCAATCTGTTCTAAATTAGATAACCAGATTCTCTAACTAATTGGACTGCCTCTGCTACGGGCTAATACCGAATAGCGTACTAGAGTTCGTATACACAATGAAAAAAAATGTTTTCTCCGTCTGTTTAAGAGTAATAAATAAAAGTTAATGGAAGGGGATTGGATATTTGAATAATTAAGAAAGCAAATAAAATACTAAAATGAGTGAAATAAAATATCAAAGATAATCAATCTTGGTTTTGCTAATTCTCACTTAGTGAAGTGCTCTTTGATCATTGTTACTACTTAAATTAGGAATTTTCCCCTAGATATTACTAAGGTGGGGCAAATTTCCAAAAAAGTGACTAGTTTTAAATTTTGATAAAAATGTGATTAAAAGGTCATATATTAGGAAAAGCTTACTAATTTTAACTGCTCCTACAGTGACACGTCATAGTTACACGCCACAGTGACATGCCACATAGTGACTTCAACCACCACCACACACCGGTGACCGCCGCCGGGACACCAACCCATAGTGACACGCAAAAGTGACGCCGCCACAGTGACACCGCCACATGGATTTTTCAGTGACGCCGCCACCACCCTCATCAATGTGTGATCGCCGGAAAGTTTCTCGGATAGCCGCCCCTGCCCATCCACTGCAGCCCCTGTCCTGTCCACCACCGCCTCTACCCAATCCACCATCCTGTCCCCGTCCAACGCCACCGCCCCTGACACGTATACAACCGCCACCCCTCACCCCTGTTTTGGCCATCGTAACTGCCAACAACATGTCACTGTTCAACAGCTCCCCAACCCCCACCTTAACTCCCTTTCCCAACCCGACCCAGCCCACCATTTCCCTTTATCCAGCCCCAAACCCTAGCCTTTGTCCGATTGGAGGCGCGACCACCTGGAGGTGCGGCGACCTGGGAGTGCGGCGACCTGGGAGTGCAGCGACCTAGCGGAGAAGATGAACTAGAGGCTGTGCAGACGACGTGGAGGCGGAGGCGGCGATCTAGATGCTGAGACGGCGACCTATAGATGGAGCGGCAGTGTGGAATCGAAGGCGGAAATCGGAGGTGGAGACCGGAGGCGGAGCCCAACTGCCATCTTTGCTGATCGTGGGAGGCTTGGAACCCATCTGCGATTTTCGTAGGAGGCTTAGAGCTGGGGGGAGAGAAGCCTGCTTGGGAGAGAGACGACGTTTTGGGAATTAGGCATTTGTGGTAAAGGTCTCTTATTTGTCATAAATTATATTGGTCATATTTTTGTCAATGAAAAGTGAGGGAGTAATATTTAGGCCATTGTTTCCTTAAATTATACCTCTTGAATAAATATTTGTGGAGAAACTCCAATTCATCTTGGATAGCTATTAATAGTAGCATTCAATCGATTTAATGGAATTAATTACTAATGATAACTTGTAACCCAAAGTGAATATTCTCGGTTGTCACAACGAGAATTTCAAGTCCAGCTATTCTACCTGATTTATCCATTTTTCATATGATGAAATCAATTAAGATTGATTATCTCAACACAAGCGATTTTTCGGTTCAACCAATATAATTACTCCCTCTTGAATTATTAACCATGAGACGCATGCATAAAAAATCTAAGGTTACTACTTATGAAAGGATCAAGTGAATAACAAGCGTATTCATTGACCGATCTAGTAATTATCAATATGAAAACATTAACTAATTGATCACTTAGTGATGCTCAAATATCAATATAAAATGTGAGTAAGGAAGTAATTAATATTTAAGAGAGGAAGATTAAAGAAATAACTCACAACTTACAAATCACAAGCTTTAATATAGCAAAACCAAACTCACAAGACAACCTAAATTAAAAGAATAAAGTCTAAAAGAAAGAGGGCTCTATTCTAAAAATCGTTCTAGGCGTCCGACTAGTCCCCGCCTAGGCGCTAGGCGGTGGTCGGGCGCCCCAATTTTTATCTAGGCGCTCTGACTAATTGGGTTGCCATCTAGGTGAATTAGTCGGCCGCCTATGACGTCTAGTTTCCCGCCTAGAGCGCCTAATCGGTCGCCTAGGCCGTCTAGATTCGTCGAACATTACTTTAGTTTTTAATATGAATTTTCTAAGCGATATACGTACTTTAGCTTTAGCCATGGATATAAAGAAATGAAGTTGTAAATTAAGATAAAACTATATATGTTTACACATATACCTAAATTTCATCATTATTTATATTTATAACATAATGAAGTTAAGTGATTAGTTATCATATACTACATATGATTAAATGTGATAATTCTATCATTCATAATTGTTAATGTATATGTAAATATGTATTTTATGCACACAAAAATACAATATTAGTTATCATATTTATGCAAAAATATAGATCAAAATGCAAATTCTTTGTCTCCGACTAGTCCCCGCCTAGGTGCCCACCTAGCCGCCTAGGCGCTAGGCGCTGGGCTGGTGCCCGACTAGCGACTAGCACTTTTAGAACATTGAAAGAGGCGATTGATTGCTCTCTAAAATGGGAAGGAAAGGGGTGTTTTATCGGAGAAATGAGGTGACTGAGTCTGATACTCGATAGGGTATATAGGATACCCGATCGGGTATCCTTCGCAGTAGGCCAGTAGATACGAAAGTTCTGAAAACTAGTCATATATACCTGACCGGGTATGTCAATATACCCGATAGGGTATAAGACCAAATCTGATTTTCCCATGTTCTCTTGCTATATTTGATGTCATATGATCTTCGGGTCATATCATTCCCGATCAGGTATTGCAAACACCCGACCGAGTGTGATACCAAATCGGTTTTTAACATTTCTTTGCCTCCCATGAAGCTTATGTTAAGGGCTACAATTCGATATATGGTACGATTTGAGTGGGGGCCACTTCCGATTTCGATCGGGTCAAAGTGGTTTCGGATTGTCCTTGTTAAGAGCTACAATTCGATATATGGTACGCTCAAAACGGATAACGGGTGAATGAGAAATTGATTCTCGAAGTTCACTCGTTGAAATGGAAAAACTGGGAAAATGATGGGTTTCTAGTGTGTTTTATACCACACCGGAAAACTCAAGGGATTTTCACCCCCTTTATAAAGGGAAGCCTCTTTTAAGGAGTTAAGATTCCTAAAGATAAAGGCTCTCTCTTACGCGCAGGGGGTGCCGATCAAATCCCAAAACGGAGAAGAAAAATCGTGACTCGTGTGCGCGGGCGACCTGCGGACATGAATGTCGTTCGAAAATCTATCATTCAAAGATTCGATTTAGTTTTGGTTTCTTCCCGTAACATTCCTTTATTTTTTCCAAGCTGGCAGAATCGCTCTGTTTCTGTCCGGACCAGAAGAGGGTCTTCTGTTCACAACAGAGACGCTTGAGGTCTTCTGTTCGCAACAGAGACGCTCGAGCTCTTCTGTTCACAACAGAGACGCTCGAGGTCTTCTGGTCCGTTACAGCAATAAATGCCCAACGTTCTTGTCTTTTAATGTTGCGTTAGCTGGACTGTTTATGGACGATTCAATGCCCAACGGACTGGTCATTGATGTCCAACGTTCAGGTCCATTAACACTACATTTAACACACAACAAATCCCCCTATAAATAGCTGGCAGGTGGTTTGCAACAACACAACACACAATACATTCCTCACGTATTTTTGAGCTCTAAAACACTTCCAGCTACTCCAAAAATTCCTGAGTGTTCTGCCTTTGTTCCCGTTCGCCGGAACTCTCGTTTGTGTGCTCAAACGTTAGTTCGTTAGCCACCGTATCCTGGGAAACGGTTGTTGTAACGCTCCTAGCAACGTGGGAGGTGACGAATACGTTTTAAGGACATCGTGCGTACCACGAGCTCTGGCTAAACTCTGTCCCATCTCTTTTTCTGTTTTTCTTTAGCTATTTAAATTAATTAATTATTTTTATTACTTAATATTTCTTCATTTTTCCGAGACACACACCCAAAAATCTTAAAACGTATTTTCATAAGCTTGTATCATACGGATACAATCTTAAAACGTATTCGGTGATTGTTCTACTCCGGTAAACAATCTTAAATCGTAGTTTGTCACTTTGGTGAACGAACTTAATTTTTTTGTGTTTTCGGAAAATGTAAGAAAACGTTAAAATGGCTTCATAAGAAATTGGAAATGTTGGTGGGCACAACGTGTTGAACGACACTCACTCTGAAAATGGAGCTCCGGTGAACAATGGTTCACAACACGGTGCATCAACTTTGGGCAACCAAGGGGCAATCCCTATGGTTACTGTGCCAAGCAACTCTCTGGAGAAACCCGAAAATTTAATGGGTTAAACTTCAAGAGGTGGCAGCGAAAGATGTTATTCTATCTCACTACTCTCGGTCTTGCAAGGTTCTTGACCGAAGATGCGCCGGTAGCAACCGGGGGTGAGGTGGATGCGCAATCTTTCAACGCGGTTGAAGCATAGAAGCATTCTGACTTCCTTTGCCGAAACTATGTGTTGAACAGGCTGCATGATGCTTTGTATAACGTGTATAGCAAATTAACTACGGCTAAGGAGCTATGGAATGCTTTGGACCACAAATATAAAAGCGAGGATGCCGGCGCAAAGAAATTTGTTGTTGGTCGATTCCTTGATTTTAAAATGGTGGATTCGAAGACGGTCTTGAGTCAAGTTGAGGAAATGCAAATGATCTTCAACGAAATTCGAGATGATGGAATGACAGTAAGTGAGTCTTTCCAAGTGGCCTGGCGTCAATTATCCGTTTATTGCCGTCAGCTTGGAAGGATTTCAAGAACTACCTTAAGCATAAGCGAAAGGAAATGAACTTGGAGCAGTTAATCCTCCGTCTGCGGATTGAAGAGGATAACCAGAAGAACGATGAGAAACTCTCAATCGTTACCAGAGCCAAGGCAAACATGGTGGAGCATGCAAAGGGCTCTAAAACAAAAAATAATGGGAATAGCAAGCTCGGTCCCAAGGGAGGCGTTTCCAAGACAAAGTTCAACGGAAAATGCTTCAATTGTAACAAGAATGGACACAAGTCCTCGGATTGCAAGGCACCAAGGAGGAAGAAAGTTTCTCACATCAACTTGGTGCAAGGTGGGAAAAAGGATG